ATGTAAGTTGCCCATCCAACAATAACATTTGTCAGGTTTGTCCCAGGCATCTCAACTTTTTATCTTCACATTGCCATCATTCTCTAGAATACAATTTTAAAGCCCATAATTCTTCAATAAAGAAACATATTTTTTAATTTGTTGGAATTCATTGCTGGAATATATTTCAATACAACTACAGTAGTATTCAGCCAGTAGATGGCAGTATTTACGTGTTTGGATTTATGGTATACGGTATATACTCTATGCTCTTTTGTTCTAAATGGAGTTTCCTGTTTCCTGTTACAGTTAAATAGTTGAGCAGTAAAGCACATGGTGACAGTACTCTTTTGTTTGCTCTGTGTGGTGCTTTATATAAACAGAATTTCCAACAAAAATCCTAAAAGCAACATCCATTTTCTGACAAGACTAACCTTCTTGTATTCACCAGGCAGCAGACTCTCAACTATTTCACTCAAGTGGTAAAAAGAAGGTCTCTTTTCAGGCTCACTATTCCAGCATTTCACCATGATGTCATACCTGGGAACCAGATAGAAGAAAATATCTGTGATTGGGAAAGTTCATAAGTAAGTTGACGACAAGATATAAGGTTGATGAAAAATGGGAGGAAAGCCACTCGTGGTAGACTTCTCAACTAATGACATAAGTGCATCTCAATAAAACCAACATTGATTTCATTCTCCACTACCTTATATACCCCTTGTTAGGTTCCAAGAAGATAATACAGGAAACAAACAAAACAAACCTGGTTTGATGCTGTTACCTTTTATTCCTGGCACTCACTGACCACTTAAACGAAATTATTGTTGGGGCTAACTGCCCAGAATTCCCATCACCTTTTATACAATACACCAGTGCACCCAGCCCTCATTAGCCAATCCCCAACGCCTACCCTGCCCATGTGACCCAGAAGTATGTGTTTTACTCTAACTGTAATTCTTAAAGTCAGTTCCTTAAAGGGGAAGTTCTACTCTAGTAACTGTAATTATTAAAGCCAGTCTCTTAAGGGGGAAGTGTGTATGTAGGTTTCCTTGGAACATGCTGCTCAATCTTGGCTCCGAACCTAACAGCCGGCTCTGGGATCAAAGGAGAATGGCAGGGGGAGTCTTGATGAAGTGCTGTCGCTCCCTTCCTGACGTCATCACCGTGCGGCCGCCTCACAGCTGTTCGGTGGCCGCCTGGCTTCCCAGAGACACGGCGACCATCCCAGATGATGGATCGACTCCTTGCCCTCCATCCCAACTCCTCAGCAGCTGGCAAGGTAGCGTGCAGGGCCTCTGTCCTCCGCAGCTGTAGCGACGGCCGTTCTCCCCTGAATGGCATCTCCAGGCCGTTGGGCATGCCGGAGCTGACACCCTTATATATTTCTAAGTATCCCAGGAAATTCATGATAATCTGTTAATTTATTATCTAATTGGTTTAACAAACAGCATCTTTTTCTTAAAGCGCAACACTGTTTTGTTTTGTTTTTAGGAGAAGCAATATTGCAGGAATTCAGGCCAATCAATGGCTAGAGCTCTAGTGCAAATTTCAGAGTTAAGCCCGGAAACATTTTGGATGGAATGATGAAAGGACAATGAGCTGAAAAGGTTTAATCCCTATTACATGCCAGCAGAGGAAGAAGATGGGAGTGGATACATACACCTCACAGGTAGCATGGTCTGGTTTTGTCATCCGATAGCCACTTTTTATTTTATTATAGAAGGTGGAGTCAACCATCATGCCAGGGTATGGGGTCCCACCTGGAAAACAATAGCAGAAAGTTGACATCGCATTTTCTGGCTCAAGAAGCAGCACCCCAAAATCCATCTTTTTATTCTTACAAAGCTTGACTGGTTCAGCATACGTCAAAAATCAGAGTCCAAGAATTTCCACAGACACACACACACACACAGAGAGACACACAAATTTTAGAAAGCAGGTAAATCAAGATGCAGTAATGATCTGGTCACATCCTTCAAGCAGAATTTCAACAGCTGCAAGACTTCTAAACAAGCTACATCTCCTTCATCAATATGTGCTTTCAGTGGTTGGGATAGCAATAGCGATACCAATAGCACTTAGACTTATATACCGCTTCCTAGTGCTTTACAGCCCTATTTAAGCTGGGCTGGCTTAAGAAGAAATTTTTAAATGTTTTAATTGGTTTGTGATTTTTAATTTTTGGGCCAAATTTTATATATTTTAATTGTTTTTTAATATTTGTATTTCATGTTCTTAATTCTGGCTGTACACCGCCCTGAGTCCTCAGGGAGAAGGGCGGTATATAAATTGGAAATAAAATAAAATAAAATAAAAATAAATTTACATGGTTTACAGAGTCAGCATATGGGCCCCAACAATCTGGGTCTTCATTTTACTGACCTCGGAAGGATGGAAGGCTGAGTCAACCTTGAGCCAGTCAGGCTCGAACTGCTGGCAGGTGGCAGAGTTAGGCTGCAATGCTGCATTCTAACCACTGTGCCACCTAATCAGCCTAGGTGGAGATTTAACAGACTGGATATCATCACTCTAAATATTTGCAGTCTATAATTGTATATATGAATCCCTGGTTAAGGACGGACAATTGCAAAAAAAAAAGGAGGATTTTTTATAGATATCCAAATATATAGGAAAACATATTATTTATTAATGTCTTGTAATCCAGCAATAAACCCACTTCATTCTATGGCATAAAGCAACATTGGAGTTATTGGTTTAGCATAACGTATGAATCAGGGGTGGGTTCTAAATTTTTTTACTACCGGTTCTGTGGGTGTGGCTTATTTTGTGGGTGTGGCTTGGAGGTTATGTGACTAGGTGGGCGTGGCTAGCTGGTCAGAGTCATTTCTGGAAGGTCCTTGCACTTACGACCAGTCCTCGCACTTACGACCCGACTCATTTGTTTGCTTTTAACACTGATCAGCTGTAGGACGGCCCTTTGAAGCCCCGCGGCAAGAGTTTAAACAGTTTTTTTCCCTCTAGCCATCAGCTGGGACTCAGGAGGCAGCAATAGATTGGGGGTGGGACCAAATAAAAGGTAAGAATAACGGGGGTGGGGGGGTGGGAGGGCAGGGGGGAGAACCAGTTCCGTGACGTCATATCGTCACCGCTACCAGCTCGGCCGAACCGGACCGAACCAGGAGGAACCCACCACTGGTATGAATCCCTCTACTTATTATAGGGTGGACCATATTTTTGTGGCCATCACTGCATTCAACATTGAGGTGATAGGGTGGGAAACCTGAGAGCAAGAATGATGGTGGAGGGCACACAATTCTGCAGGCAGGACTGTGTTTGGTGGAAGCTTTTTGAAAAATGAATTGTTTCGCTTTAATTAAACAAAAGAAAGAATGAAAGAAATAATAGAAAATCTAATTAAAATCAATTAAAATCAATTAAAAGAACATGTGGATGCACAATTTATTTTAATTAGATAATAACAGTTAAACTGACTATTACACATTGCCAATAAATATCCAAAACAGAATTACGGATTGGCTTTGGAGAACATGGAAATGAATATTATTACAAAATTAAACTATTAGAATTCTAAATTTAATTCACAGAATTTGTTATAAAATTGGGAAATGAAAAATTATAGGCTGCAATTTTTCAGTGATGTAGCTGTCAGCAGTGTATACTTGCTGATATTATGTTGTATATTTTTATTGTTGTCTGCTGCTACCAGAGGTTCATGGCAAATGTAAAAAAAGTATTACTGCAACAATTTTGGTTAACATGCCTCTAAACAAAAGTTTCAACCATTATATATATATATGTAGGTCTTGGTTATTCAGTCTTCTCCCACGTAAAATTGGAAGTGTCTTGGCGACGTTTCGACGAAGTCTCATGTCTTGGGAGACTTCGACGAAGTTCATGTCTTGGTGACGTTTCAACGAAGTCTCAGCTTGACTAAGCTGAGTCCAAACAGAACACACCCAGCCAATCAGAGCACAGCCAAGCCCCTAACCAATCAGAACACACCTCCACCAATCAGAACACAGCCAAGTTCCCACCCAATCAGCTCACACCTCCACTAGCAGTTAAAGGAAGAGACAGCTGCGATCTCACATTGCTCCTGGAAGCACGAAGCCGAGAACACCAGCCTGAAGATGACGAATGAGACTTCGTCGAAACGTCGCCAAGACACTTCCAATTTTACGTGGGAGAAGACCTGAATAACCAAAGACCTACATACAAACACCGCGAAAACCTGAGAAAACATATATATATATATATATATGTATGTATGTATGTATGTATGTATGTATTCAAATTTATATTTCACTGATAAAGAATAAAGGGAGACTAGTATAGATCTATTTCAAGCTATTTAGCTCTCATCAGCTAGCCATACCCTTACTTGGATTCGAACTTGGGTTGCCTGCATGTTAGGCAGTTGTATTAACCACTGAGCCACAAGTTCTCCATCCTTCATCACATGCTGGGGTAGACCAGATGTCTCAATAGAAAAACACTTAATCTCTCCCTTGGCTCAAGATGATACTAGTCTCCCTTTATTTCTTTATCAGCGAAATATAAATTTGGTATAAAATGGTTTGCCGTGAATGCGACTGCTTGAGGGCTCCTGGATTGGAGCTGAAAGGCGAAAGGGATGCAGTGTGCTCCCTCCCACATCACATGCTGGGGTAGACCAGATATTGCAGATGTCTAATTATTTATCAGGTTCGATGCTTTCACACACCAAACGATTAGTTTACCTACCAAGAGAAAATATTTCCCATAACAGAATGCCATAGGACCAGACATCGCTTAATGTGGTATACAGGTTGTCAAAGATGCTTTCAGGTGCCATCCATTTCACTGGAAGAAAGGTCTGAAAAAGGCAAAAGTTAAGCTATATATATAAAGCGAAATACCACTCACGCATCATCACAAAATCTCCAGAACCGTAAAGCCTACAAACTTGAAATTTGCCACGTATGTTCTTCTTGGCTTCTAGGTGCTCACTAAGAAAGGATTTTTTGAAATGACCATCAGAGCATTAGTAGTTCCTATATTATGATTAACAGGCTCTGATGCTAAGGAGTTCTTCTTCCCCTCCCCACCTGAAAAGAAATCTGTTCCAAATGCAAAACACAAGCAGAGGAGAGGAGTTTCAGTTTCAGTTTTACTTTCACAGCAGCAAGCAGGGATAGGATAGGGGAGGCTTCTGTGGGGCAAGACTGAGGGAGAGAATGGGGGAGAAGAGAGGCCAATCATAACTACTCATTAATTTTCAAGATGTAAGTGTCAATTTATCAAGCCTGATCACAGTTTCGTAGCGGAGCACAGGTATTCAGCTAGTTAAAAAATATGCAAGAGTTCTCATAAACGAAATATTTACTATCAGGGTGTCTTTAAAGTCAAATTTTAAGCTGCAAAAATGTGGGTAGGTAGGTAGCAAAGACACTAAAGTTGGCCATTTTTTCAGCGCTGTGGCTTGTTTTTCACCCACCCAGGGGTGGGTTCTAAATTTTTTTACTACCGGTTCTGTGGTGTGGCTTATTTTGTGGGTGTGGCTTGGAGGTCATGTGACTAGGTGGGCGTAGCTAGCTGGTCAGAGTCATTTCTGGAAGGTCCTCACACTTACGACCAGTCCTCGCACTTACGACCCGACTCATTTGTTTGCTTTTAACACTGATCAGCTGTGGGACGGCCCTTTGAAGCCCCGCGGCAAGAGTTTTTAAACAGTTTTTTTTCCCTCTAATCATCAGTTGGGACTCAGGAGGCAGCAATAGATTGGGGGTGGGACCAAATAAAAGGTAAGAATAATGTGGGGGGGGGCTGGGAGGGCGGGGGGAGGAACCGGTTCGGTGACGTCATATCGTCACCGCTACCGGCTCGGCCGAACCGGACCGAACCGGGAGGACCCACCACTGCACCCACCCCATGTTAAAACAACAACAATACATACACTGCCTTTGGAAACATAGTTGGAATCATGCATAATGTCTCTTGCTAACCCAAAGTCACAGATCTTCACAATTTTTCCTTGTGCTAAGAGGACATTTCGTGCCGCCAGATCACGGTGCACACACTGTTGTAAAAAAAAAAAAGTATACTTTTTAAATAATATATGCATATTATAATATATAATCTTTAGAATAATACCATGCCTAGAGTGGTATCTTGGTACTCAACTGCTTTGAAACTCATCAAAAGTGGTACTCAACACATTTTGAGGCAAAACGTTTATCCCAATACTCATCGTTTGTTTGGTACTTGACACACAAGCTAGAACTTGCCCGTGTCGGCTGCCTTGTGACTCACTCCATTATGAAAAAAAAAAAAAGTTTGATAGTCATCATTTTTCGTACTCATCAAAATCAATGTTTGGTTGTCTCAAAGGTGCTTTTTCAAGAGGCAACTGGACTTCCTTCTGCAAAGGAGCCTTGGTAGTACAGTGGTCTAAAGCACCCTGTTATTAAGACCAGCTGCCTGCAATTACTGCAGGTTTGAATCTCGCCAGGCTCAAGGTTGACTCAGCCTTCCATCCTTTCTAAGGTAGGTAAATTGAGGACCCAGTTTGTGGGGGCAATAAGCTGACTTGTATAAATATACAAAAAGGATGAAGGCTATTGCTTAGCGCATTGTAAGCCGCCCTGAGTCTCCGGAGAAGGGCAGCATATAAATCAAATTAAAAAAAAAAATTAAACTAGTCATACCCAACTCCAGCAAACGTTCTTTATATGTTTTACCTTCCAGTCCCCTAATCTCCCCTTTGTAACTGCTACGCAAGGCATGATGGGAAGGTTTTCTGGAAAAGTGAGTAACTCTTGCTGGGAAGTAGAATACAAGTAGTTCTCAACTTATGACCATGTCTTAACTCAAAATTGATGGTGTTAAGTGAGACATTTGTTAAGCGAGTTTCGCCCCACTTTATGACTTTTCTTGCCACAGTTAAGTGAATCATTGCAGTTATTAAGTTAGGGCTGGCTTGATCCCATCCGTTCGGTTTTAATTTGAAATTGGTTTTAACTGGGTTGTCTGCTGTCTGCAAGGAATATAAATCCTCCCATTCCCCACCTTCCAGTCAGAGCTGAAGAAGCTTCTTGGATGAGAAGCAAAACGTCTTCAAAGAAAAACAAGAAACTAATATTCAAATACATTTCAAAAACAAGAAAGTCCAGTTGCCTCTCGAAAAAAACAGCTTTGGGAGAACCATGACCTGGATGACTGAGAATCTCCATAGACAATTAACAATGAGTACCGAGGTACCACTGAGTATACAGTACTTGACTGATGCTAGCAAGCAACAATGCACTGATTTTATACATTTGAAATGTTAAAAGTGGGTACTTTAGTGGGGAATACTCTCTTAGATGTCTTTTCCATGTTTAACGTTTCAAATGTATCCCTTTAGCACAGTGGTGAAATTCAAATTTTTTTACAACTGGTTCTGTGGGCGTGGCTTGGTGGGCGTGGCTTGGTGGGCGTGGCAGGGGAAGGATACTGCAAAATCTCCATTCCCAACCCACTTCCTGGGGGAAGGATATTGCAAAATCACCATTCCTACCCCATTCCAGGGGAAGGATAATGCAAAATCCCCATTCCCTCCCCACTCCTGGGGGAAGGATATTGCAAAATCTCCATTCCCACCCCACTCGGGGGCCAGCCAGAGGTGGTATTTGCCGGTTCTCCGAACTACTCAAAATTTCCGCTACCGGTTCTCCAGAACCTATGAGGACCTGCTGGATTTCACCCCTGCTTTAGCATAAAGATCATTGTAATGTAGTACTTAAGGGAAAGGAAGAGGAAGGATGAGTGTAGATACATCAAATCTAGCAAGCAAACCGGGCTAAATTTGTTTCTGAACCTGGCATGGAGTATTGGCATGGAGTCTCTTTCTTGACCACATGAAAATTTGAAGCTGCCTGGATCCTAACATAGAAACGGTGGCTTATACATAAGCTATGTAATGGCAAGCAGATTTATGGGATAGGTTTGGGGAAGAATCGCTGACAGGGATAAACTCCTACCATCCCACAGGATTATCCTTCTTGGGGTATATTACTTAAAATCTGGTTGGCTTTTAAATTTAGAGAGGATCCCTTTTCCAACCCCACTCTTAAAAGAGCTCAAGTAACTGATTAAAAGTGGTGAAAATTGGGGTTTGAAGCTAGTCTTTGTCAGAGGAGAACCAAGAGGTTTCTTCTCATTTTCCCCACAATAATATTTATTTTTCCGAAAGCAATATGTAAATGTACAAATATATTCCTTTCAAAAACCCAGAGCCTATGTACTGTAATGATACATGTAGAGCAGATCTACATGTCCCGGCACGTTCTTTTCACAGGAATGTGGCCCCCACCCTCGTCCCCCAGGAAACACTATCTGTTGCATACAAAAAACTAGGTAGAAATTCATCTCAGCAATAAATCAACGCTTCTGCTCTCTGCTTCATCTCGTTCATGTCAGCGCTGGAAGAGAGCCTAATTTGGAACGCTGACAGCAGGGGCATTAAACTCAAGATCCGTGGGCTGGATCCGGCCCACCTGGGCTGGATCCGGCCCACCTGGGCTGGATCCGGCCCACAGGGTGCTTGGATCTGGCCCATGGAGCCGCCATGGAAACAGCGAAGGACTGGCCCGCAGTCCCTCTGCCAGCAAAAACAGAACTCAGGAAGGCTGCATGGGGGCCTCCGAAGCTCCAGAGGATTGCGGGAGGCTGTCGCAGCCAAAACAGAGCTTGGGAGCCCGTTTTCACTGGCAGAGCGTTCGGGCCACCACAAGTGCCCCCAACACAAGTGACATCAAGCTGGCCATGCCCACCCTGGCCACGCCCACCCCGGGCACCCAAGGTCAAACACAACCCTGATGCGGCCCTCAATGAAATCGAGTTTGACACCCCCTGATGTCAGGGGTGAAATTCAGCAGGTTCTAACAGGTTCTGGAGAACCGGTAGCGGAAATTTTGAGCAGTTCGGAGTAATTCAGAGAACTGGCAAATACCACCTTTGGCTGGCCCCAGGGTGGGGTGGGAATGGAGATTTTGCAATATGCTTTCCCCAGGAGTGGTGAGGGAATGGAGATTTTGCAGTATCCTTCCCCTGCCACGCCCACCAAGCTACACCATGCCCCTCAAGCCACGCCCACAGAACCGGTAGTAAAAAAAATTTGAATTCCACCACTGCCTGATGTACAGTCTTATCAGTTGTGTTTGAATTGTGTTACTTCCTCATCGCCTGATTTAGATAACTTCCCTGTTATTACTCTTGCTAGGGAATGGTATCAGTGTCATTTTTTCTTTGTTTTCTAGGATTTAATAGGAAAATTTAAATCGGATTTATGACAGAATTGGCTGTTGTTGTTGTTTTTTTTTGTTTGTTTGTTTTTTTAATTTGATTTATATGCCACCCTTCTCCGAAGACTCAGGGCGGCTTACAATGTGCTCAGCAATAGCCTTCATCCTTTTTGTATATTTATACAAAGTCAGCTTATTGCCCCCACAATCTGGGTCCTCATTTTACCTACCTTAGAAAGGATGGAAGGCTGAGTCAACCTTGAGCCTTGGCGAGATTCGAACCCTGCAGTAATTGCAGGCAGCTGGTCTTAATAACCAGCTTAATAACAGGGTGCCTTAAACCCCTGTACTACCAAGGCTCCAAGGTTTGAGTTTATGTGTGAGTGCCTTGGACTGGACAGCTGTGTGAGGCACTATCAAATCATCTATACAATATAAATAATCATGCACTTTCTGTTGATTGTTCCTTTTATAAGACATCTTTGCAAAGCTGAGATGCAAGCTGTGTTTAAAATGAAGCCTCCCTTCAGGCTTTGCCACTTACGTTTTTTGAAGCCAGGAATTCCATTCCTCGGGCTACTTGGTAGGTGAAGCTCAGCAGATCCAACAAACTGAGGCCTTCTGAATTGTCATCAGAAAGCAGATTCTTCCCATCTAATTTCATTGAGAGGAGGGGAAAAAAATGAAAAGAAAAATTCTTTTGTTAAATTTGAACTCCAGGGGAATCAATCCATCAATCTTTTTCAGGCAAGCATCATAGTGAAAGGCTTTTGAACAGGTTGCGTCTTTTTGAGACATGAAGGAGACAATAGGTACTGCACAGGTACAGTATACATGGTACCTTGCTCAATAGTAGTAACTGTGAGATGGATCTTGGAGTCCTACTGGACAACCATTTAAATATGAGCCAGCAGTGTGCAGCAGCTGCCAAAAAAAGCCAACACAGTTCTAGGCTGCATCAACAGAGGGATAGAATCAAGATCAGATGAAGTGTTAATACCACTTTATAATGCCTTGGTAAGGCCACACTTGGAATACTGCATCCAGTTTTGGTCGCCACAGTGTAAAAAAGATGTGGAGACTCTAGAAAGAGTGCAGAGAAGAGCAACAAAGATGATTAGGGGACTGGAGGCTAAAACATATGAAGAACGGTTGCAGGAACTGGGTATGTCTAGTTTAATGAAAAGAAGGACTAGGGGAGACATGATAGCAGTCTTCCAATATCTCAGGGGCTGCCATAAACAAGAGGGAGTCAAACTATTCTCCAAAGCATCTGAGGGTAGGACAAGAAGCAATGGGTGGAAACTAATCAAGGAGAGAAGCAATTTAGAACTAAGGAGAAAGTTAGAACAGTTAGAACAATTAATCAGTGGAACAACTTGCCTCCAGAAGTTGTGAATACTCCAACACTGGAAGTTTTTAAGAAGATGTTGGATAACCCTTTTTCTGAAATGGTATAAGGCTTCCTGTCTAAGCAGAGGGTTGGACTAGAAGACCTCCAAGGTCCCTTCCATCTCTATTATTCTATTCTAACACTGTATCTCCAGCAAACTGATTTAACTACAAAGACTCCCTTTTGCTGTGTAAAATTCTTACTCAAAGACTAAGAATTTATTATAATTATTTCCTTAGACTGTCGTTTCCCTTTACCAAACCCAGCAACCTTTCCTCTGCCATTCCATAACATTGAACTGAGAACTATATCTCCAAAACATTTCAACAAAACAAGCTACGTTTGTCTCCATCAAGAACAGAGAAGAGGGTTTTTTAAAAAAAATAAATAAATAAATCCAAATACTAAATATAGTTTTATTTCTCCTTTAATTATAGACATTTTTTCCCTAGAAATTGCAGGATTAAAGGAGTACCGCCTACACATTACAGGCCTTGTTGTTACTTTATTCCCGTGTGGTTTAAATCCAAAGCCATCATTTAGAAATGGCATGGAGTCATCCACTTGTTTTCGACCTATATCATTTTTTTTGCCCTGTTTAGCTTTGCTAGGCTGGCTCGTGCTCTTTGGTAATTGGGGTTACCCAAGAGTCTCAAAGGATCAATGATTCTACAGCATGGCTCTTATTACGCTCGGGGGAATGACAGCTGCAATATGCCTAAAATATAATAATTTGGTTACTTGGTTAGACTCAGTAAAGCTTTAGTGGTAAAGCTTCTGCCAACGGAGCTGGGTCTGGAATAGAATCCAGTTTAAGAATCAGGAGAGAGCAGATCTGTAAACCAGGGATCAGATTTCAGCGTTGTAGGACAGTAAAAGGGATGAGCTGGTCATACGGCCCTCCTTGACTAACCATCAATTTGGCATTCTGCAAATTACTTCTGTTTAGAGTCAGTTAGCTCTTAGGGATGAATCCTAATCGAAGGAAAAGCACAAGCAAGTGGCTCAAAAATCCAGCTAAAAGCAAAGCCATTTGTGCCACAAATGACATTGGCTCCCGTTAAGCCTAAGAAACATCGTTGATCAGTTCTGTGGATAGAGGTACAATAAATGTTAGCATTGTGTGCTGGGTAGAAGGATAAGAGGGTAAAGAAAAGATAGGAAATGTTTAACTCCAGAGGTCATCCTGAATACCTACCTCATTTTGAATTATAAATAGTAACGGATGTTTTGACAACAAGCTTAGATAATCAACCAGGGGTGAAATCTACTTACTTTCCCAACAAATTCAGAAGTGCATGCGCCCCGTGCATGCCGGCCCTCTGTGCATGCACAGAGGGTAAAAAACAGGTTACTTCCTGGTTAAAACCAGGAAGTAATAACAACCGGGTGGGTGGGCAGAGCCTTGCACCGGGATCGCTACCGGTTCCCCAAACCACTGGCCGCCATTGCTACCAGTTCCCCAAACACTGGCCGCCATCGCTACCGGTTCCCCAACCACTGGCCGCCATCGCACCGGTTTCCCAACCACTGGCCGCCATTGCTACCGGTTCCCCAAACCACTGGCCGCCATCGCTACCGGTTCCCCAACCACTGGCCGCCATCGCTACCGGTTCCCCAACCACTGGCCGCCATCGCTACCGATTCCCCAACCACCGGCCGCCATCGCTACCGGTTCCCCAAACCACTGGCCGCCATCGCTACCGGTTCCCCAACCACCGGCCGCCATCACTACCGGTTCCCCAAACCACTGGTCGCCATCGGCTACCGGTTCCCCAACCACTGGCCGCCATCGCTACCGGTTCCCCAAACCACCGGCTGCCATCGCTACCAGTTCCCCAAACCATTGGCCTCCATCACTACCGGTTTGGGCGAACCAGTCCGAACCGGGAGCATTTCACCCCTGTAATCAACCGAATCATAAGAAACAATATAACCATCATTTGCAGAAAGAAAAACTCCACTGGTATATTTTTGCCTGTCCCCTGAAGTAGGAAATGTTAACATCTTGTATGATTCTGCCTTTTGTAGCATTCTTCAAGATACAGAAACTTTCTGAGATTCAATGTTTGGGAATCTTATGAATCAACCGCTATGTAGCATAGGATATTCCAATTGCTTCAATAACTTTATTTTCTATCCTTCCTAGCGCACAAAACATGTACTAGTGTGCAATAGCGCTGCAACATTTGTTTCAGATATGTTAATGCTATTTGGATTTCTGATTATGCCAAAATGTTTTTTTAAGTGAAGACTCCCTTGAATTGAGCTTCGTTATGGGTGACTCTGTGAAGGCATCTATGTTGCTTTTCTGGTAGCAGTATGGAACAGAGGAAGGAGAAGGAGGAGGAGGAGAAAAAGGAGGAGGAGGAGGAGGAGGAGGAGGAGGAGGAGGAGGAGGAGGAG